CGCCCGAGCATCTGTAATGAGTGACATTAACACCTCGCGTACGCACGCGTGCGCGTGTACGCGCGTGTGAGTCGGTGTGTAAGAAATACAAAACACACATCAGCACTAGGGAGACAAAGGCGGCCGGGCGTGGTGTTGGCCACCCGCCGCCTCGTGTGGGGGGGGGGGGTGCGAATCGTTGACAGCACTTGCCCCCGACGACTGGTAAAGGCTCACACGGAGGAGTGGCGTCTTCGACGAGTGTACGCGGGGAGCGGTGGCGCAGCGGTTAGCGCACTGCGCGCTACGAAGCCGGCGAGCCGAGTCCCGATTCCCGCTTACGGCCAACACCAGCCACGTGTACACGTGTGTGTGTGTGTACACGTGTGTGTGTACACGTGTGTGTGTACACGTGTGTGTGTGTGTACACGTGTGTGTGTACACGTGTGTGTGTGACACGTGTGTGTGTACACGTGTGTGTGTGTACACGTGTGTGTGTGTACACACGTGTGTGTGTGTACACACGTGTGTGTGTGTACACACACGTGTGTGTGTGTACACACACGTGTGTGTGTGTACACACGTGTGTGTGTGTACACACACGTGTGTGTGTGTACACACGTGTGTGTGTGTACACACACGTGTGTGTGTGTACACACACGTGTGTGTGTGTACACACACGTGTGTGTGTGTACACACACGTGTGTGTTTGTACACGTGTACACACACGTGTGTGTTTGTACACGTGTACACACACGTGTGTGTTTGTACACGTGTGTACACGTGTGTGTGTGCGTACACGTGTGTGTGTACACGTGTGTGTACACGTGTGTGTACACGTGTGTGTGTGTGTACACACGTGTGTGTGTGTACGCACGTGTGTGTGTGTGTACGCACGTGTGTGTGTACACGTGTGTGTGTGTGTACACACACACGTGTGTGTGTGTGTGTACACACGTGTGTGTGTGTACACACGTGTGTACACACGTGTGTGTGTGTACACGTGTGTGTGTGTACACGTGTGTGTGTGTACGTGGAGAGCGGTGGAGTGGTAGTCGTAGTGGTTCGCGTGCTGCGCTGTGAATCCAGTGACCAGTTCGATTTCCGATCACGTGACTATCATCTGAACCCGGTCCCCTGGGCTTCCCCTAGGTCGACTCAGCCTCAAATGAGTACCTGGTGCGGTGTGTGCACATATAAGCACCGGGGAGACAAAGGCGGCCGGGCGTGGTGTTCACCATCCCCCCTTCGTGCGCCGTGCGTGCCTTCAAAGGTGCTCATCACGAACAGCAACAATCTGTTACAGGCTGCACGGGGGATCTTTGTCTTGTCTTGTGTGTGTGTAATGAATGGATTATCCGTGCATTAGCAACGGGCCAAGGGTTAGGGGTTAACACACTCACTCGCACACACACACACACGCGCGCGGAGACACGTGGACATGTACCCACTACGGCGACCCCCGAGTAGCCTTGAACAGACTGTTGGGTCAAGTGCCATTAGCGAGCCGCACCTATGAAGGCAGGCACGACGCACGAGGGAGTTGGCTGTCCAGCACCACGCCCGACCGCCTTTGTCTCCCCCAGCGCCGGTGTTTATGGACCGCGCCAGGTGCTCATTTTGAAGGTTCAGTGCGCCAACCACTGCACCACCGCTCCCCCATAAGCCATACACGTGGAGGAAGACGCGCACGCGCGCGTGTGTGCATGTACCCGCAGGCACATACAGGCACATACAGGCACAACAACAACCGCGATTCGCCACCGAGTGGCGGTGACGTCACCACGGCGCTTGTGCCAGGCTAGGTGCACTTTGAGGCCTCTGCGCTGCTGGCAGGAGGAGGAGGAGAAGGCACAGACCCTCACGTTGTGCCATGAGTCGACCGACTGAAATGACTGGCAGACGCGCCACCTGTGCTCTCCACTGCGCCAACTTGCGCGCGCGCGCGCGCAAAGCAAAGATGCCCCGTATAGCCTCGACAGATTGCTGGGGCAAGTGCCGCTCGCGAGCTGTGAAGGCCGGCCACGACACACGAGTGGATGGGTGGCGAGCACCACGCCCGGCCGCCTTTGTCTCCCCCGGTGGCGATGTTTATTGCACCGCTCCAAGGTGTAGCTCCGAGCCGAGGCTCGGGACCGGTTTTGGTGTTGAGCCGCGATCGATGCCGAGCGTGCGTGGGAGTCGAACTCAACGTGGTTGCCAATCACTGCGCCACCGCTCCTCGCTAGCACGTGGGGCCCCCGTTGAAAACAACGGCGTTGGCACCCGGGGCATTAGTCACGTGTCACGGGTATCGGGGTCAACACGGGGACTCGCGCGCAACAAAGATACAGACAAAGATCCCCCGCGTAGCCTTTAACAGAGTGTTGGGGCAAGTGCTGTCAGCGAGCGGCACCTACGTAGGCCGGTAACGGCACACGAGGGGTTGGTGGGTGGCCAGCACCACGCCCGACCGCCTTTGTCTCCCCCCAGTGGCGATGTTTACTACATACCGCGCCAGGTGCTTATTTGAGGCTGAGTCGACACATACACGCACGCGCACGCACGCGCACACACACACGTGGAACACACACAACGGGAAATATGTTAACCGTGCAATTGCGTATTAGCTCGGGGTCACGAGTAATGGGGTTTTTTGGGAAAAGCAAACAAAGACAAATCGCATAGCCCACGCAGGCTACTCGGGGGCAAGTGCTGTTTGCGAGCACCTATTAAGGCCGGCTCGGTACACGGGGGGCTTGGTGGGTGTCCAGCACCACGCCTGGCCGCCTTTGTCTCCCCCAGTTGCTGATGTTTTATACGCACCGGGCCAGGCACTCGGGTGGGTGCCGGTTGGCAGCGCGGTGCGCTAACCGCTGCGCCACCGCTCCCCCAGCGACGCGAACGGGTCACACAGAGACACGGAAGATGCCGCGTGTAACTTTGGCCAAACTGCAGGGGCAAGTGTTGTTTGCGAGCGCCTATTAAGGCCGGCACGGCCGATTAGCACGGCTGGCCACGTACGGTGCGAAAGAAGTTCAACGTACGCACGTACTCGTTTGAGGCTGAGTCGCTCTAGGAGAGGCCCAGCACCGGTTCAGATCATGGTCACGTGGTGGTGCTGTCCGTCGGCGGCGGGAGTCGAACCCCGCGTCGCCGGGTTCGTAGCGCAGCGTGGCGCGAACCACAGCACCATCGCTACACACCCAGGTCACACACACACACGGACTCACACACACACACGGACTCACACACACACACGGACTCACACACACACGGACTCACACACACACGGACTCACACACACACGGACTCACACGGACTCACACACACACACGGACTCACACACGGACTCACACACGGACTCACACACACACACGGACTCACACACGGACTCACTCACACACACACGGACTCACACGGACTCACACACACGGACTCACACACACACACGGACTCACACGGACTCACACGGACTCACACACACAGACTCACTCACACACACACACGGACTCACACGGACTCACACGGACTCACACACGGACTCACACACACGGACTCACACACACACACACACGGCCTCACACGGACTCACACACACACACATGGACTAACACACACACACTCACACACACACACGGACTCACACACACTGAGACTGCTGTGTAAACTCGCCGCCCCAGAGTGATGGAGCGAAACTCTTTGATGTGTTGGGAGGAGTCCCCGTGTTTGTGCGCGCGGGGGTTCGCGCACTGATACACGCAATTAAGTTCGGTCATAATCCTTCCTCGACTTAAATCAATCGGCTTTGTTCTGAACCCGTGAAAAAACCGGTTAGAACCGGTTTCCATATTGCTCGTCATACTTCTGTGTGTGTGTGCGCGCCGGGTCTGTGCCTGCGTCTCATTAAATTATTCTGAGCCGGTTTTGGGCCTCTCCTAGGTCGACTCGGCCTCAAATGAGTGCCCCGTGCAAGGTGTACAGTCAACATCGCCACGAGGAAGACAAAGGCGGCCGGGCGTGGTGCTGGCCACCCACCCCCCACCGTGTGCCGTGTCGGCCTCCGTAGGTGCTGCTGGCTAACAGCACTTGCCCCGACAGTCTGTTAAGGCTACACGGGGGATCTTTGCCTTTGTGTGGAGGAGGCCCCCTGCACTTGCAGGGCCGCGCTTTTGCCTTGCAGCTGAGACTTGGGTCTGCCACCGTGCGGTTTGTACTTAACGGTAACCGGTTTCTATAACTGGTTTCGACAACTGTCACCGGTTACAAAGATCCCCCGTGTAGCCTTAACAGACTGTTGGGGCAAGTGCTGTTCGCGGAGTAGCACCGACGAAGGCCGGAACGACGCACGAGGCGGTGGAGTGGTCTGGACCACGCCCGGCCGCCTTCGCCTCTCTCGTGGCGATGTTAACACTCCGCACCGGCTACTTATTTGAGGCTGAGTTGACCTAGGAGAGGCCCAGGACCGGTAGCAGATAATGATCGTCACCGGTGCTGGCCGTGAGCTGCAATCGAAGCCGGGACGCCGGGTTCGTAGCGCGGCGTAGCGCTAACCCGCTGCACCACCGCTCCCCCATCAAACCTTCCCGCACTCAGTGACGCGACGCGCTATGAACTCGGCAACCCGAGTTTAATTCGCGCTCACGGCTAACGTCAGTGGCGAGAGATGTGTGGTGGCTAGGAGATGTCAACTGCGTCGCCCGTGACGCGGGAGGAGCGTAGGTTCGATCCCGACCCTGGCGGATGCCTCCTGGATATTTTGGGATGTGGCGGATTTCCACCCCCCCCCCCCCCCACCCCCTCCACATTTGGAATCGACGTCCACGCGTTCGGAGAATTTGGCTGCGACAAGCCACTTCTCGTTGAGACGTCACTCGTGATGCTGAGTGGGGCCTTAGCCGGTAAAATAAAATAAAAAGTTTTAAACTGTTTTTTTTTTTACACGAACCAGTCCCGAGTCTACCGCTCTGCACCAAGCCAGCACACGTTGACCGGCGTAGTGAATTATGGTTGAAATCCCCTTTTTGTTTTTCATCCCCTAGGACCCCAGGGCAAGAGGGGGAGGAGAGGACGGAGAGGAGAAGCAGGTACCGCATGCACAACACGTGGCAGTAGAGCAAGTAGCATCGTGAATCCATCTGTGCGGGGTTTTGAGTGTTGATGTCCCCTCGTAAACTGCAGCTGCGCGGTGCTGGGTTTCAATTTACACATAGATTCACACAGAGACCCATTTACCCATAGATTCACACAGAGACCCATTTACCCATAGATTCACACAGAGACCCATTTACCCATAGATTCACACAGAGACCCATTTACCCATAGATTCACACAGAGACCCATTTACCCATAGATTCACACAGAGACCCATTTACCCACAAATTCACACAGAGACCCATTTACCCATAGATTCACGCAGAGACCCATTTACCCATAGATTCACATAGAGACCCATTTACCCATAGATTCACGCAGAGACCCATTTACCCACAAATTCACACAGAGACCCATTTACCCATAGATTCACGCAGAGACCCATTTACCCATAGAATCACTTAGAGACCCATTTACCCATAGAATCACATAGAGACCCATTTACCCATAGAATCACACAGATACCCATTTACCCATAGATTAACACAGAGACCCATTTACCCATAGATTCACGCAGAGACCCATTTACCCACAAATTCACACAGAGACCCATTTACCCATAGATTCACGCAGAGACCCATTTACCCATAGAATTGCATAGAGACCCATTTACCCATAGAATCACATAGAGACCCATTTACCCATAGATTCACACAGAGACCCATTTACCCATGAATTCACATAGAGACGAATTTACCCATAGATTCACATAGAGACCCATTTACCCATAGAATCACACAGAGACCCATTTACCCATAGATTCACATAGAGACCCATTTACCCATAGATTCACGCAGAGACCCATTTACCCATAGATTCACACAGAGACCCATTTACCCATAGATTCACGCAGAGACCCATTTACTCATAGATTCACATAGAGACCCATTTACCCATAGATTCACACAGAGACCCATTTACCCATAGATTCACACAGAGACCCATTTACCCATAGATTCGCGCAGAGACACATTTACCCATAGATTCACACAGAGACCCATTTACCCATAGATTCACGCAGAGACCCATTTACCCACAAATTCACACAGAGACCCATTTACCCATAGATTCACGCAGAGACCCATTTACCCATAGATTCACGCAGAGACCCATTTACCCACAAATTCACACAGAGACCCATTTACCCATAGATTCACGCAGAGACCCATTTACCCATAGATTCACGCAGAGACCCATTTACCCATAGATTCACACAGAGACCCATTTACCCATAGATTCACGCAGAGACCCATTTACCCATAGATTCACATAGAGACCCATTTACCCATAGATTCACACAGAGACCCATTTACCCATAGATTCACACAGAGACCCATTTACCCATAGATTCGCGCAGAGACCCATTTACCCATAGATTCACACAGAGACCCATTTACCCATAGATTCACACAGAGACCCATTTACCCATAGATTCACACAGAGACCCATTTACCCACAAATTCACAGAGACCCATTTACCCATAGATTCACGCAGAGACCCATTTACCCATAGATTAACGCAGAGACCCATTTACCCACAAATTCACACAGAGACCCATTTACCCATAGATTCACGCAGAGACCCATTTACCCATAGAATCACATAGAGACCCATTTACCCATAGAATCACATAGAGACCCATTTACCCATAGATTCACACAGAGACCCATTTACCCATAGATTCACATAGAGACCCATTTACCCATAGAATCACACAGAGACCCATTTACCCATAGATTCACATAGAGACCCATTTACCCATAGAATCACACAGAGACCCATTTACCCATAGATTCACACAGAGACCCATTTACCCATAGATTCACATAGAGACCCATTTACCCATAGATTCACGCAGAGACCCATTTACCCATAGATTCACACAGAGACCCATTTACCCATAGATTCACGCAGAGACCAATTTACTCATAGATTCACATAGAGACCCATTTACCCATAGATTCACACAGAGACCCATTTACCCATAGATTCACACAGAGACCCATTTACCCATAGATTCGCGCAGAGACACATTTACCCATAGATTCACACAGAGACCCATTTACCCATAGATTCACACAGAGACCCATTTACCCATAGATTCACGCAGAGACCCATTTACCCACAAATTCACTCAGAGACCCATTTACCCATAGATTCACGCAGAGACCCATTTACCCATAGATTCACGCAGAGACCCATTTACCCATAGAATCACATAGAGACCCATTTACCCATAGAATCACATAGAGACCCATTTACCCATAGATTCACACAGAGACCCATTTACCCATAGATTCACATAGAGACCCATTTACCCATAGAATCACACAGAGACCCATTTACCCATAGATTCACATAGAGACCCATTTACCCATAGAATCACACAGAGACCCATTTACCCATAGATTCACACAGAGACCCATTTACCCATAGATTCACATAGAGACCCATTTACCCATAGATTCACGCAGAGACCCATTTACCCATAGATTCACACAGAGACCCATTTACCCATAGATTCACGCAGAGACCCATTTACTCATAGATTCACATAGAGACCCATTTACCCATAGATTCACACAGAGACCCATTTACCCATAGATTCACACAGAGACCCATTTACCCATAGATTCGCGCAGAGACACATTTACCCATAGATTCACACAGAGACCCATTTACCCATAGATTCACACAGAGACCCATTTACCCATAGATTCACACAGAGACCCATTTACCCACAAATTCACACAGAGACCCATTTACCCATAGATTCACGCAGAGACCCATTTACCCATAGATTCACGCAGAGACCCATTTACCCACAAATTCACACAGAGACCCATTTACCCATAGATTCACGCAGAGACCCATTTACCCATAGATTCACGCAGAGACCCATTTACCCATAGATTCACACAGAGACCCATTTACCCATAGATTCACGCAGAGACCCATTTACCCATAGATTCACATAGAGACCCATTTACCCATAGATTCACACAGAGACCCATTTACCCATAGATTCACACAGAGACCCATTTACCCATAGATTCGCGCAGAGACCCATTTACCCATAGATTCACACAGAGACCCATTTACCCATAGATTCACAGAGAGACCCATTTACCCATAGATTCACACAGAGACCCATTTACCCACAAATTCACACAGAGACCCATTTACCCATAGATTCACGCAGAGACCCATTTACCCATAGATTAACGCAGAGACCCATTTACCCACAAATTCACACAGAGACCCATTTACCCATAGATTCACGCAGAGACCCATTTACCCATAGAATCACATAGAGACCCATTTACCCATAGAATCACATAGAGACCCATTTACCCATAGATTCACACAGAGACCCATTTACCCATAGATTCACATAGAGACCCATTTACCCATAGAATCACACAGAGACCCATTTACCCATAGATTCACATAGAGACCCATTTACCCATAGAATCACACAGAGACCCATTTACCCATAGATTCACACAGAGACCCATTTACCCATAGATTCACGCAGAGACCCATTTACCCACAAATTCACACAGAGACCCATTTACCCATAGATTCACGCAGAGACCCATTTACCCATAGAATCGCATAGAGACCCATTTACCCATAGAATCACATAGAGATCCATTTACCCATAGATTCACACAGAGACCCATTTACCCATAGATTAACATAGAGACCCATTTACCCATAGAATCACACAGAGACCCATTTACCCATAGATTCACATAGAGACCCATTTACCCATAGAATCACACAGAGACCCATTTACCCATAGATTCACACAGAGACCCATTTACCCATAGATTCACGCAGAGACCCATTTACCCATAGATTCACACAGAGACCCCTTTACCCATAGATTCACACAGAGACCCATTTACCCATAGATTCACGCAGAGACCCATTTACCCATAGATTCACACATAGACCCATTTACCCATAGATTCACACAGAGACCCATTTACCCATAGATTCACATAGAAACCCATTTACCCATAGATTCACACAGAGACCCATTTACCCACAAATTCACACAGAGACCCATTTACCCATAGATTCATGTAGAGACCCATTTACCCATAGATTCACACAGAGACCCATTTACCCATAGAATCACACAGAGACCCATTTACCCATTGATTCACACAGAGACCCATTTACCCATAGATTCACATAGAGACCCATTTACTCATAGAATCACACAGAGACCCATTTACCCATAGATTCACGCAGACACCCATTTACCCATAGATTCACACAGAGACCCATTTACCCATAGATTCACACAGAGACCCATTTACCCATGGATTCACACAGAGACCCACTTACCCATAGATTCACGCAGAGGCCCATTTACCCATAGATTCACATAGAGACTCATTTACCCATAGATTCACATAGATACCCATTTACCCATACATTCACACAGAGACTCATTCACCCATAGATTCACACAGAGACCCATTTACCCATAGATTCACACAGAGACCCATTTACCCATATATTCACATAGATACCCATTTACCCATACATTCACACAGAGACTCATTCACCCATAGATTCACACAGAGGCCCATTTACCCATAGATTCACATAGAGACCCATTTACCCATAGATTCACATAGAGACCCATTTACTCATAGATTCACATAGAAACCCATTTACCCATAGATTCACACAGAGGCCCATTTAGCCATAGATTCACATAGAGACCCATTTACCCATAGATTCACACAGAGACCCATTTACCCATAGATTCACATAGAGACCCATTTACCCATAGATTCACACAGATACCCATTTACCCATAGATTCACATAGAGACCCATTTACCCATAGATTCACACAGAGACTCATTTACCCATAGAATCAAACAGAGACCTATTTACCCATAGATTCACATAGAGACCCATTTACCCATAGATTAACACAGCGACTCCTTTACCCATAGATTCACACAGAGACCCATTTACCACGGATTCACACAGAGACCCATTTACCCATAGATTCACATAGAGACCCATTTACCCATAGAATCACACAGAGACCCATTTACCCATAGATTCACACAGAGACCCATTTACCCATAGATTCACGCAGAGACCCATTTACCCATAGATTCACACAGAGACCCCTTTACCCATAGATTCACACAGAGACCCATTTACCCATAGATTCACGCAGAGACCCATTTACCCATAGATTCACACATAGACCCATTTACCCATAGATTCACACAGAGACCCATTTACCCATAGATTCACATAGAAACCCATTTACCCATAGATTCACACAGAGACCCATTTACCCACAAATTCACACAGAGACCCATTTACCCATAGATTCATGTAGAGACCCATTTACCCATAGATTCACACAGAGACCCATTTACCCATAGAATCACACAGAGCCCCATTTACCCATAGATTCACACAGAGACCCATTTACCCATAGATTCATATAGAGATCCATTTACTCATAGAATCACACAGAGACCCATTTACCCATAGATTCACGCAGACACCCATTTACCCATAGATTCACACAGAGACCCATTTACCCATAGATTCACACAGAGACCCATTTACCCATGGATTCACACAGAGACCCACTTACCCATAGATTCACGCAGAGGCCCATTTACCCATAGATTCACATAGAGACTCATTTACCCATAGATTCACATAGAGACCCATTTACCCATACATTCACACAGAGACTCATTCACCCATAGATTCACACAGAGACCCATTTACCCATAGATTCACACAGAGACCCATTTACCCATATATTCACATAGATACCCATTTACCCATACATTCACACAGAGACTCATTCACCCATAGATTCACACAGAGGCCCATTTACCCATAGATTCACATAGAGACCCATTTACCCATAGATTCACATAGAGACCCATTTACTCATAGATTCACATAGAAACCCATTTACCCATAGATTCACACAGAGGCCCATTTACCCATAGATTCACATAGAGACCCATTTACCCATAGATTCACACAGAGACCCATTTACCCATAGACTCACATAGAGACCCATTTACCCATAGATTCACACAGAGACTCATTTACCCATAGAATCAAACAGAGACCTATTTACCCATAGATTCACATAGAGACCCATTTACCCATAGATTAACACAGCGACTCCTTTACCCATAGATTCACACAGAGACCCCTTTACCCATTGATTCACACAGAGGCCCATTTACCCATCGATTCACATAGAGACCCCGTTACCCATAGATTCACACAAAGACCCATTTAAACATACATTCACACAGAGGCCCATTTACCCATAGATTCACATAGAGACCCCTTTACCCATAGATTCACACAAAGACCCATTTACCCATAGATTCACATAGAGACCCACTTACCCATAGATTCACACAGAGACCCATTTACCACGGATTCACACAGAGACCCATTTACCCATAGATTCACATAAAGACTCATTTACCCATAGATTCACATAGAGACCCATTTATCCATAGATTCACACAGAGTCCCATTTACCCATAGATTCACACAGCGACCCCTTTACCCATAGATTCACACAGACACCCCTTTACGTATAGATTCACACAGAGGCCCATTTACCCATACATTCACACAGAGGCCCATTTACCCATAGATTCACATAGAGACCCCTTTACCCATAGATTCACACAAATACCCATTTACCCATAGAATAACAGAGACCCACTTACCCATAGATTCACACAGAAAACAATTTAACCACAGATTCACATAGAGACCAATAGAATCACAGATACCCACAGACTCACATAGACCCACAGGCTCGCACAAAGACCCATAGACTTCCTCTTGTGTGTTGAGGGTTGTTGTTATTGACTGTTGTTGATATTTGCCATTGGCTGTTGTTGTTCATGATTGTTGTTGTGGTGGTTGTTTGCAGGGCCACCTGTAAGTGATGGAGAACATTCGGATAAGTGTCATCATCACCACCAGCACCATCACCACCATCATCAACGCCACCACGATCACCACCACCATCATAATCATCACCAGTACCACCAACACCACCATCATCCCTGCCATCATCACCATCATCACGAACACCGACATCATCACCACCATCATCATCAGCACCATCATCAGCACCACCACGATCAACACCATCACGATCATCACCATCATAATCATCACCATCATAATCATCACTATCATAATCATCACCACCACCATAACCATCATCACCACCATCACCATCATCACCACCACTACTACCATCACCACCACTACTACCATCACCACCATCACCACCATCACCACCATCACCACCACCACCACCATCATCACCATCACCACCATCACCACCATCACCACCACCACTACCACCACCATCACCACCACCACCATCATCACCACCAACCATCACCACAACCACCACCATCATCACCATCATCACCACTACCACAACTACCACCACCATCACCACCACTACCACCACCATCACCACCACCGTCAACACAACCACCACCATCACCACCATCACCACCACTACCACCACCATCACCACCACCATCACCACCACCATCCCCACCACTACCACCACCATCACCACAACCACGACCATCACCATCACCACCATCATCATCACCACCACTACCACCACCATCACCACCACCATCACCACCACCACCATCAGCACCATCACCACCATCACAACTACCACCACCATCACCACCATCACCACCACTACCACCACCATCACCACCATCACTACTAGCACCACCACCACCACCATCACCACTACCACCATCACCACCACTACCACCACCATCACCATCACCACCACTACCACCACCATCACCACCACCATCACCACCACTACCACCACCATCACCACAACCACCACCATCACCACCATCGCCACCATCACCACCACTACCACCACCATCAGCACCACCACTACCACCACCACCATCACCACCATCACCACCACCACCATCACCACCACCACCATCACCACCACCATCACCACCACCATGCCTTCTGATGTCTCCCTCCCTCTACCCCAGGGAAAACCGGGCCCCAAAGGAGATCTCGTGAGTTTCACGTGTGTGTCAGTGTGTCACGTGAGTGTCACGTGTGTGTCAGTGTGTGTCAGTGTGTCACGTGTCTGTCAGTGTGTCTCGTGAGTGTCAGTGTGTCACGTGTGTGTCAGTGTGTCACGTGAGTGTCAGTGTGTCACGTGTGTATCACTTGTGTGTCAGTGTGTCACGTGTGTGTCAGTGTGTCACGTGTGTTTCACGTGTGTGTCAGTGTGTCACGTGTGCGTCAGTGTGTCACGTGAGTGTCACGTGTGTGTCAGTGTGTCACGTGTGCGTCAGTGTGTCACGTGAGTGTCACGTGTGTGTCAGTGTGTCACGTGAGTGTCAGTGTGTCACGTGTGTGTCAGTGTGTCACGTGTGTCACGTGTGTGTCAGTGTGTCACGTGTGTGTCACGTGTGTGTCAGTGTGTGTCAGTGTGTCACGTGTGTGTCAGTGTGTCACGTGTGTGTCAGTGTGCGTCAGTGTGTCACGTGAGTGTCACGTTTGTGTCAGTGTGTCACGTGAGTGTCAGTGTGTCACGTGAGTGTCAGTGTGTCACGTGAGTGTCACGTGTGTGTCAGTGTGTCACGTGAGTGTCAGTGTGTCACGTGAGTGTCACGTGTGTGTCAGTGTGTCACGTGTGTGTCAGTGTGTCACGTGAGTGTCACGTGTGTGTCAGTGTGTCACGTGTGCGTCAGTGTGTCACGTGAGTGTCACGTGTGTGTCAGTGTGTCACGTGTCAGTGTGTCACGTGTGTGTCACGTGTGTGTCAGTGTGTCACGTGTGTGTCAGTGTGTCACGTGAGTGTCAGTGTGTTACATGTGTGTCACGTGTGTGTCAGTGTGTCACGTGTGTGTCAGTGTGTCAGGCGTGTGTCACGTGTGTGTCAGGCGTGTGTCAGGCGTGTGACACGTGTGTGTCACGTGTGTGTCAGTGTGTCACGTGTGTGTCAGTGTGTCACGTGAGTGTTAGTGTGTGTCAGTGTGTCACGTGAGTGTCAGTGTGTCACGTGTGTGTCACGTGTGTGTCAGTGTGTCACGTGTGTGTCAGTGTGTCACGTATGTGTCACGTGTGCGTCGGTGTGTGTCAGGCGTGTGTCAGGCGTGTGACACGTGTGTGTCACGTGTGCGTCGGTGTGTCACGTGTGCGTCAGTGTGTCACGCGAGTGTCAGTGTGTCACGTGTGTGTCAGTGTGTCAAGCGAGTGTCAGTGTGTCACGTGTGTGTCAGTGTGTCACGTGAGTGTCAGTGTGTCACGTGTGTGTCAGTGTGTCACGTGTGTTTCAGTGTGTCACGTGAGTGTCACGTGTGTGTCACGTGTGTGTCAGTGTGTCACGTGTGTGTCACGTGTGTGTCACGTGTGTGTCAGTGTGTCACGTGTGTGTCAGTGTGTCACGTGAGTGTCAGTGTGTCACGTGTGTGTCACGTGTGTGTCAGTGTGTCACGCGAGTGTTAGTGTGTCACGTGTGTGTCAGTGTGTCACGTGAGTGTCAGTGTGTCACGTGTGTGTCACGTGTGTGTCAGTGTGTCACGTGAGTGTCAGTGTGTCACGTGTGTGTCAGTGTGCCACGCGAGTGTCAGTGTGCCACGCGAGTGTCAGTGTGTCACGTGTGTGTCAGTGTGTCACGTGTGTGTCACGTGTGTGTCAGTGTGTCACGTGTGTGTCAGTGTGTCACGCGAGTGTTAGTGTGTCACGTGTGTGTCAGTGTATCACGTGTGTATCACTTGTGTGTCAGTGTGTCACGTGTGTGTCAGTGTGTCACGTGTGTGTCACGTGTGTGTCAGTGTGTCACGTGTGCGTCAGTGTGTCACGTGTGTGCCACGCGAGTGTCAGTGTGCCACGCGAGTGTCAGTGTGTCACGTGTGTGTCAGTGTGTCACGTGTGTGTCAGTGTGTCACGCGAGTGTCAGTGTGCCACGCGAGTGTCAGTGTGTCACGTGTGTGTCAGTGTGTCACGTGTCACGTGTGTGTCAGTGTGTCACGTGTCACGTGTGTGTCAGTGTGTCACGCGAGTGTCAGTGTGTCACGTGAGTGTCAGTGTGTCACGTGAGTGTCAGTGTGTCACGTGAGTGTCAGTGTGTCACGTGTCACGTGTGTGTCAGTGTGTCACGTGAGTGTCTGTGCACCTAGCCCGGCACAAGCGCCCTGGTAACGTCACCACCAGCTGTTGTGTGTCAGGGTGTGTCTGCGTGTCGATGTGTGTGTCAGTGTGTCACGTGTCACGTGTGTGTCAGTGTGTCACGTGAGTGTCAGTGTGTCACGTGAGTGTCACGTGAGTGTCTGTGCACCTAGCCTGGCACAAGCGCCCTGGTAACGTCACCACCAGCTGTTGTGTGTGTGTCTGCGTGTCGATGTGTATACATCTGTATTGTATTGAGTCACTACGGCGTCTACCGCCACCTACTGGAGGCAGAGCGCTACTGTGCATCGTCTTTGGTGTCTTTCGGTAAAGTCACGTACATTAGTTAGGTTAAAATTAATTACAAAAAATTAAACCTACGACGTTTGGATCGCAACACGAGCAGCAGGCAAAAAAGAGTGGGAGGCAGATTGTTTTAAAGGTTTAAAATGGGTGTAGCCCAAGGGTCATAAACGAAGTGGGCGGGGCTAGTTATGTTAATGTGATAAATTAGCATGCTAATTTATCACATTAACATAACTCAAGATAGGAGAGCGGCCTCTACGATGAGGGCGCTGAGGTGGCTATGTTAATGTGGGAGATTAGCATAATGCTAAAGTAAACGATTATCATGTTAATGTGAGAGATAAGCGTGTTAATGTGAGAGATTAGCATGATGCTAATGTGAGAGATTAGCATGTTTATGTGAGAGATTAGCATGTTAATGTGAGAGATTATCATGTTAATGTGAGAGATTAGCGTGTTAATGTGAGAGATTAACATGATGTTAATGTAAGAGATTAGCATGATGTTAATGTGAGAGATTATTATGTTAATGTGAGAGGTTATTATGATGTTAATGTGAGAGATTAGCGTGTTAATGTGAGAGATTAGCATGATGCTAATGTGAGAGATTAGCATGTTATTGTGAGAGATTAGCATGTTAATGTGAGAGATTATCATGTTAATGTGAGAGATTAGCGTGTTAATGTGAGAGATTAACATGATGTTAATGTGAGAGATTAGCATGATGTTAATGTGAGAGATAAGCGTGTTAATGTGAGAGATTAGCATGTTAATGTGAGAGATTATTATGATGTTAATGTGAGAGATTAGCGTGTTAATGTGAGAGATTATTATGATGTTAATGTGAGAGATTAGCGTGTTAATGTGAGAGATTAGCATGTTAATGTGAGAGATTAGCATGTTAATGTGAGCGGTTAGCATGTTAATGTGAGAGATTAGCGTGTTAATGTGAGAGATTAGCATGTCAATGTGAGAGATTAGCATGATGTTAATGTGAGAGATTAGCATGATGTTAATATGGGACATTAGCATGTTAATGTGAGATATTAGCATGTTGTTAATGGGATATATTAGCATGTTAATGTGAGAGATTAGCATGATGTTAATGTGAGATATTAGCATGTTAATGTGAGAGATTAGCATTATGTTAATGTGAGAGATTAGCATGTTGTTAATGGGAGATCACAGACCCGCCGCCACATTGTGGTAGGTGCGCGGAGGTGGCTATGTTGACGTGAAAAATTGTTACCTGTTCATGTAAAAATCGGAGATCCGAAGCCACGGGGAAAATAACAACTGACATCGGAAGGTGTCAGGATGGGAACGTCACAGCCAGTTATTACTTAAACTGGTTGATGACGTCCTTCCAATGATTGCTGAGTTTGTACCCATCCTCTGGGTTGAAATTGTGTCTGTGTTTGTATATGTTTGATAGCTTCATGAACGAATCTTTGTTGATAGCCAGTGGGTTTACAAAGTACCTTCGTCTTAGAGAAATCAATTTCGTGTGAGCCGACCCCATTAAAACAATGATCAGCCACGGCCGAGGTGTTGGTCCTACCGTGTTTCAAATCTGCCTTATGCTCACGAACACGGTCCGAGACACGCCGCTAAGTTTCCCCAATGTAACTGCTGCCGCAGACACAGCTTGTGTTTGTAGATGCAGGGGTATTGCATGTCAGGGATCACATCCTTCACAGAGCTGGAGCAAACTCAAGATCCGGGCTCGATTTAACACAGTACGTGAAATTCGCGATCTGATCCCATCCTGAGGAGCGTGGCCTGGCTCTGCCCTAGGCCACGCTCGAGGGGCATAAAAGGCAAGTCCCGAGCGCCGATCCGGGCTGTCTTCTGGTATCAACCCGCCGTGCGACGTCTCTTCAGTCGTCGCTGTTCGGCCGTTACGTTCGGCTTCGTGGGTCAGGCAGTGCACCGCTGACTCACCCGGTTACCTAGTTACCCCATTGTGGTCTAAGTTACTCGTGGTGGTGACCACCTACGCCGTTATCCCGTACGTTCATGCGGCTGTCCTGTTGGGGTGTTAGAATGCGTGTCTCCATGAAATCCACTACACACCCATCGACACTGGGGGACGTGAAGGCGGCCGGGCGTGGTGCTGACCACCCACCCCCTCGTGATGCCGTCCTGGGCTTAGTAGCCGCTCGCTAACAGCACTTGCCCCAATGTCTACACGGGGGATCTTTGTCTTTGTGTGTGTGTGTGTGTGCGTGCAGGGTCCCAGAGGGGAGAGAGGGTACAAGGTGAGTCGGTAATATGACCATACTTCACCTCGCTAGTCAACGCAGGGTTGGTTTGTGCGGGGCGGTGGGATAGAAGGACAGTACAACCGTGCATTTTCATGCATTCTCTCCGTAGCTTATAACACCTGTTATGCACGGTGGTCACGTGTGTGTGTGTCTGTGTCTGTCTCACAGGGCGACCAAGGAGAGTCTGGACCGAGGGTACGTGTATCATCATCATGAGAATCATTCATATATTCACTCATAATCAGCTTCGTCGGCATTAATCATGAATATACTCACTACATCACCATCGGCAGCAGCATCATCATCATTGATATACTCACTACATCATCAGCAGCAGCATCAGCGTCATCACCATCATCATCATCATACATATATTCACTCAGCATCATCATCAGTTTCATCACCAGCAGAATCACAGCGTCATCAGGAATATGCTCACTCATCAGCATCATCATGAATATACTCACTACATCACTATCAGCATCATCATCATTGATAAACTCACTACGTCAACATCAGCATCATCATCATTGATATACTCACTACATCACCATCAGCATCATCATCATTGATATACTCACTACATCACCATCAGCATCATCATGAATATACTCACTACATCACCATCAGCATCATCATCATTGATATACTCACTACATCACCATCAGCATCATCATCATTGATATACTCACTACATCACCATCAGCATCATCATCATTGATATACTCACTACATCACCATCAGCATTATCATCATTGATATACTCACTACATCACCATCAGCATCATCATAAATATACTCACTACATCACCATCAGCATCATCATCATTGATATACTCACTACATCACCATCAGCATCATCATTGATATACTCACTACATCACCATCAGCATCATCATCATTGATATACTCACTACATCACCATCAGCATCATCATCATTGATATACTCACTACATCACCATCAGCATCATCATGAATATACTCACTACATCACCATCAGCATCATCATCATTGATATACTCACTACATCACCATCAGCATTATCATCATTGATATACTCACTACATCACCATCAGCATCATCATGAATATACTCACTACATCACCATCAGCATCATCATAATGAATATACTCACTACATCACCATCAGCATCATCATCATTGATATACTCACTACATCACCATCAGCATAATCATGAATATACTCACTACATCACCATCAGCATCATCATCATTGATATACTCACTACATCACCATCAGCATCATCATCATTGATATACTCACTACATCACCATCAGCATCATCATGAATATACTCACTACATCACCATCAGCATCATCATCATTGATACACTCACTACATCATCATCATTGATATACTCACTACATCACCATCAGCATCATCATCATTGATATACTCACTACATCACCATCAGCATCATCATCATTGATATACTCACTACATCACCATCAGCATCATCATGAATATACTCACTACATCACCATCAGCATCATCATCATTGATATACTCACTACATCACCATCAGCATCATCATCATTGATATGCTCACTACGTCATCATGTTAGGGAGCAGCGGGGGAGGGGAGTTTGGGGGATCGGGGTAAGGATTGCGGACCAGCGGGGGATCGAGGGGGCGGGGCGTGCTGTGAGGGGGGGGGGCTGTGGGGGGGCGTGCTGTGAGGGGGGCGGGGTGTGCTGTGAGGGGGGGGGGCTGTGGGGGGGGGCTGTGAGGGGGGGCTGTAGGGGTGGGGGCTGTGGGGGTGGGGGTTGTCACGCTCTGCTGAGGTCACATTACTCGGCGATTCCATCTCCCACGGAACCACGTGACTCTGCCCCCCAATTAAGGCGTGAAGTTCACCGCTGGCCCAGAGGGGTTCACGATGGCCGTGTCGGTACCCATAGACTCACCACACAGAGACCCATAGACTCACCACACAGAGACCCATAGATTCACCACACAGAGACCCATAGACTCATCACATAGAGACCCATAGACTCATCACATAGAGACCCATAGACTCATCACATAGAGACCCATAGACTCACCACACAGAGACCCATAGACTCACCACACAGAGACCCATAGACTCATCACATAGAGACCCATAGACTCATCACATAGAGACCCATAGACTCACCACACAGAGACCCATAGACTCATCACATAGAGACCCATAGATTCACCACACAGAGACCCATAGACTCATCACATAGAGACCCATAGACTCACCACACAGAGACCCATAGACTCATCACATAGAGACCCATAGACTCATCACATAGAGACCCATAGACTCATCACATAGAGACCCATAGATTCACCACACAGAGACCCATAGACTCATCACATAGAGACCCATAGACTCATCACATAGAGACCCATAGACTCATCACATAGAGACCCATAGACTCACCACACAGAGACCCATAGACTCATCACATAGAGACCCATAGACTCACCACACAGAGACCCATAGACTCATCACATAGAGACCCATAGATTCACCACACAGAGACCCATAGACTCATCACATAGAGACCCATAGATTCACCACACAGAGACCCATAGATTCATCACACAGAGACCCATAGATTCACCACACAGAGACCCATAGACTCATCACATAGAGACCCATAGACTCATCACATAGAGACCCATAGACTCACCACACAGAGACCATAGACTCATCACATAGAGACCCATAGACTCATCACATAGAGACCCATAGACTCACCACACAGAGGCCCATAGACTCACCACACAGAGACCCATAGATTCACCACACAGAGACCCATAGATTCATCACACAGAGACCCATAGATTCACCACACAGAGACCCATAGATTCACCACACAGAGACCCATAGATTCATCACATAGAGACCCATAGATTCATCACACAGAGACCCATAGATTCATCACACAGAGACCCACAGACTCACCACACAGAGTCCCATAGATTAATCACACAGAGACCCATAGATTCACCACACAGAGACCCATAGATTCACCACACAGAGACCCATAGACTCATCACATAGAGACCCATAGATTCACCACACAGAGACCCATAGATTCACCACACAGAGACCATAGACTCATCACATAGAGACCCATAGATTCATCACACAGATACCCATAGACTCATCACATAGAGACCCATAGATTCACCACACAGAGACCCATAGATTCACCACACAGAGACCCATAGACTCATCACATAGAGACCCATAGATTCACCACACAGAGACCCATAGATTCATCACATAGAGACCCATAGATTCATCACACAGAGACCCATAGATTCATCACACAGAGACCCATAGATTCACCACATAGAGTCCCATAGACTCATCACATAGAGACCCATAGATTCACCACACAGAGACCCATAGATTCACCACACAGAGACCCATAGATTCACCACACAGAGACCCATAGACTCATCACATAGAGACCCATAGATTCACCACACAGAGACCCATAGATTCACCACACAGAGACCATAGACTCATCACATAGAGACCCATAGATTCATCACACAGATACCCATAGACTCATCACATAGAGACCCATAGATTCACCACACAGAGACCCATAGATTCACCACACAGAGACCCATAGACTCATCACATAGAGACCCATAGATTCACCACACAGAGACCCATAGATTCACCACACAGAGACCCATAGACTCATCACATAGAGACCCATAGATTCACCACACAGAGACCCATAGATTCATCACATAGAGACCCATAGATTCATCACACAGAGACCCATAGATTCACCACACAGAGACCCATAGACTCATCACATAGAGACCCATAGATTCACCACACAGAGACCCATAGATTCACCACACAGAGACCATAGACTCATCACATAGAGACCCATAGATTCATCACACAGATACCCATAGACTCATCACATAGAGACCCATAGATTCACCACACAGAGACCCATAGATTCACCACACAGAGACCCATAGACTCATCACATAGAGACCCATAGATTCACCACACAGAGACCCATAGATTCACCACACAGAGACCCATAGACTCATCACATAGAGACCCATAGATTCACCACACAGAGACCCATAGATTCATCACATAGAGACCCATAGATTCATCACACAGAGACCCATAGATTCATCACACAGAGACCCATAGATTCACCACACAGAGACCCATAGATTCACCACACAGAGACCCATAGACTCATCACATAGAGACCATTAGATTCACCACACAGAGACCCATAGATTCATCACATAGAGACCCATAGATTCATCACACAGAGACCCATAGATTCATCACATAGAGACCCATAGATTCACCACACAGAGACCCATAGACTCATCACATAGAGACCCATAGATTCACCACACAGAGACCCATAGATTCACCACACAGAGACCCATAGATTCATCACATAGAGACCCATAGATTCACCACACAGAGACCCATAGACTCATCACATAGAGTCCCATATATTCATCACACAGAGACCCATAGATTCACCACACAGAGACCCATAGACTCATCACATAGAGACCCATAGATTCACAACACAGAGACCCATAGATTCACCACACAGAGACCCATAGATTCATCACATAGAGACCCATAGATTCACCACACAGAGACCCATAGACTCATCACATAGAGTCCCATATATTCATCACACAGAGACCCATAGATTCACCACACAGAGACCCATAGACTCATCACATAGAGACCCATAGATTCATCACACAGAGACCCATAGATTCACCACACAGAGACCCATAGACTCATCACATAGAGACCCATAGATTCATCACACAGAGACCCATAGATTCACCACACAGAGACCCACAGACTCACCACACAGAGACCCACAGACTCACCACACAGAGACCCACAGACTCACCACACAGAGACCCACAGACTCACCACACAGAGACCCACAGACTGACCACACAGAGACCCACAGACTCACCACACAGGGACCCACAGACTCACCACACAGAGACCCACAGACTCACCACACAGAGACCCATAGATTCATCACATAGAGACCCATAGATTCACCACACAGAGACCCATAGACTCATCACATAGAGTCCCATATATTCATCACACAGAGGCCCATAGATTCACCACACAGAGACCCATAGACTCATCACA